AGTGGCGGTCAATTCATCAGCCTTGCAAGCTGTTGAATGGTGTAATCCCTGCACAAGTTGCAATGTCTAACATAGATGTTCACTATCATCGCTTCCGCGATCGGCATGTCTGAGTCTGCGCGTGTGTGTGTGTGTGTGTGTGTGTGTGTGTGTGTGTGTGTGCGTGCGCGTGCGTGAGTGTGTGTGTGTGTATGTGGTGGTCGATTCACATGACTTCGCAGGTTGTGTGAATCAGTGGACAGTTATCTGGCGCTAATCTTGATCTGTCATTCAGATGTTGTCCACTATCGTTCTAGAGGAGAAAATCTGAGGGTGCACATCCAGTGCATTTGCAGGTTTGCGAGCTTCTCTTGCAACGGGCGTATACATGGTACATTGCACATGGTGTGTGTGTGTGTGTATGTGTAGTGCTGACATGATCTTTGCGGCAAGGAAACTAATCGAAAAGCTACGAGCATGAGCAGAAGTGTTTCTTCATCTTCATCGACCTGAAGAAAGCCTGTGACTCAGTTCCGCGAGAGTGTCTGTGGCTAGTACTTCAAGTACTGGGAAAAGCTGGTGTCCCTGAGAAGGTGATTGCTGTTAACCATGCATTCCATGACGGCATGACCGCAACTCTTCGTCTGTCGAATGTTGAAGCTGACCCCATCCCTGTGACTAACGGCTTGCGGCAAGGATGGTGCATGGCCCATGTCTTCTTCAACATCTTTATGTGAGCAGTGATGCATTGTTGGCGGCAACAAGTGAAGTCTATCCATGGTCTAGGAGCAACGGTCTTCTTCGAGCAAGATGGGAAGCTACTCCACCACCGTAGTCGCCGCGATAGATCCCTGGAGCTGACAGAGCGCCTGTTTGCTGATGATTCCGCTCGTGTGGCAGCCACACGCCAGGCCGCAGTTTCAGCCTTGGAGGTATTTGTGGATGTATGCAGCGAGTTTGGTCTCACCGTCAGTGCCACCAAAAGCAAGTTCATGGTTTCTGGCTCCAACATCTCTAACGATGATCTAGAGCCGCTCGCGATTCAAACTATGGAGATTGCCCACGTGTCGTCTTTTCGTTACCTTGGATCCAACATACACAGCAACGGCCGATGTCATGATGATGATGTCACATCCCGGATCGCACAGGCTTCCAAAGCGTTTGACGCTCTGAAGAAATTGATATATCACGACGTAACACTGACAATATCCATCAAACGGTCAATGTACAATGCTTGTGTGCTGTCGACGCTGCTCTATGGGTCCGAATGCTGGGTACCGCTACAGGCTGATGTTGATGCTTGGTCTGTCTTTCATTTCCGTTGTGTCCGCACCAACCTGGGCATCAGTCGTCAAGATATATGGAATGACAAGATAACTAATGTTGCAGTTCTGGAGCGCTGGGGCGATACCTTGGACATGGAGTGTCGTCTCAGCAGACGTCGCCTTGAGTGGCTTGGTCATGTGTCAAGGATGGAGGATGAGCGCATCCCGAAGGCTCTCCTGTTCGGTTCGTTTCCAAACAACAGACCTGTCCATGGTCCGCAAAAAGGTGGCGAGACTATGTTCGGAGTGACGTCAAACCACTTGACGACTGGTATGAAGTGGCCAACTCTTCTCGCTCCAAATGGCGTAAGGCTTAACGTTTTCTGCCAGACAAGCAGAACAGACCTCAACCATCACTGGTTGTGTGCCAAACTTGTCACTGCTCCTTCAGTCGTGTAAGTGACAGGAAGCGACACAAGTGTACAGCTACGCGTGTCCTGCCTGTAAGCCAACAGCCAGGAAGTTGTCACTGCGACCAGTGCGACAGATGGTTCCGGAGCAAGGGTGGATTTGCCCGGCATAAGTGCTCGCCAGCAACATCACCAGCAGAGACATCTTCTGACACACTGGAGTCACCAGTTACGAACAATATGTCCTGCGAACGCTGCAGCTTCCACTGCGGCCGCTGCAACCGCTGTGTGCTATCGCGTCAAGGCATGAAGCGCCACAAGTGCAGCCGTGGCTCGGCCAGAGCAACCAACACAGACCGCAGCTCCTTCTGCATCGTTTGCAATTGCGGTCGGCGTTCCAATAGACCACAGGACCTATCCCGTCATCGCCCCTACTGTTCCGAACCTGCTCAACCCCCATGGGGTCGGCATAGCCAGAATATGGCAGTGCGTCCAAGGTCCAAGGTGTGTAGTGATGTGTGCTGAGGCTGCCTTGGACCTGTTCAACTCGACCGCTTCGGAGTTCGGTCTCACAGTGAGTACGATCAAAACCAAGTTCTTGGTTGCGGGAGCTGGCGTCACGGCTGCGGACCAGGCGCCAATGCAGCTTTCCGGTGTGGAGATTGAGTGTGTGCCGGAATTCACGTACCTAGGATGCATCATCCACTGTGGCGGCCGATCATTGCAGGATATCAGCGCTCAGGTTGCAAGTGCGTCCCAGGCTTGCTGTGCTCTGCAGCAAGCTGTTTTCAGGAACAAGAACTTAGATCTTCATATTAAACGCTGTGTCCTGTCTCTGCTCCTGTATGGGTCCGAGTGTTGGGCGCTACTGAAGCAGGACCTCCGTCGCATGTCTGGTTCCACATGTGACGCGTGCGGTCGATATTGGGTACATCACGCCATCGTTGCTGGGATTACCGCGTATCCAACAACCAGCTGCTTGAATGGTGGGGCGACTCCGAAACCAGCGTCACAAAGATTCAGAACCGGTGCCTCGAGTGGCTGGACCATGTCGCCCGCATGGACGACGTATGATTGCCCAAGCAGTTGCTGTTTGGCACCCTGCCATCTCGTCGCCAGGCACATGGCCCACGTCGGTGGTGTAAACACTGCGCTGTGAAGGACCTCCGCTCACGAGACCTTGAAGCGGACTGGTACAGAGTGGCTTGTGACTCTCGTCCAGTCTGGAGGTTTGGCTTACACCTCGGACGCCTCGGATCCCCCCGTACCGGCACCGGTGACTTGCTGCACATGCGCCCGCACTTCGCACGTCAGGGCGACCTCGCTAGGCACAAGTGCACGGCTGAACGGCAGAAGCCGGTTTCGGAGCAGAGAGGTGCATGTCAGTGCCCCCGGTGTCATCATTGGTTCCGGAGCCGCGGTGGCTTGGCTGTGCATCGTCGCTCCGCTTCTACCTCATGCCCAGCACCAACCGCACCGTTGCCACTGCCACTCGGCCTATTTAGCTCGTAGCCGTACTGATGAGGCCTTTATGGCCGCAACAGCTTGCTGTCTACAGCACTGGGTATAATTATATATGAGTGTATGTGTGGCTGAAAAAGGGAGGGAGTGGGGGTGGGAAGGGGAGAGAGGACGTGCAACGGGAGGGGAGATATTATTATTCCTGAAGCTAAGCAAAGATATTACTTTAGTAGCATCCGGCGCTAACCAGGGTCCTGGCTTTTGGGCAGTATGCGTGTGTGTGTATGTGTGTGTGTGTGTGTGTGTGTGTGTGTGTGTGTGTGTGTGTGTGTGTGTGTGTGTGTGTGTGTGTGTGTGTGTGTGTGTGTGTGTGTGTGTGTGTGTGTGTGTGTGTGTGTGTGTGTGTGGAGCCATCGTCACATGATGTGCCATGCCTGTCGTGCTATCCCGTATTGGTTCCGTACCGTACCGCTAGCGTGTCAAACACAGCTACAGTGTAGCTGGCTAACACATTCAACTTCATTGCAGGGCCTTCTATGGCAGGATCATAACATGAAGCGACCAAGTAGGACATGTATGTATGCAAAGTGTAGCAAGGGAAAGCATGCAGGGTGATAGTGCGCGGGTTCGAATCCCATGTTTTGTGTTGAAAAATAAATAAAAATAAAAATAAATAAGCTACAGGTGTAGAACCATGGCGTAATGTAACTATTTGTTACCCAATGCTGTGGACAGCAAGCTGTTTTGGCCAAAACGGCCTCATCAGTCCAGCGATAAGTATAAGCTTTAAGTAGGCTGAGCTACCAGCCATGGTGCAAAGGAGGCACCACAGACATTAGGATAGCTAGTCGCTCTAGTGCCAGAGCGCTCCAACTACGAAAAGTAGCGGGTACAGGCTCCTGGGTTCTTGAAATGGATCCAGATTGTATTTTTTCAATGTTTTCACTTGCCACGCAGGCCATGGCGGCTGTTGCATAGCTTGGGGAATAAAGGCATATTACTTGAACTGAGAGTAAATCTGAAACAAAGTGTTCTATTATTCCACGGAGAAAGCCCCTTCCGGCGATCATGCTCGACCCTTCATTCACATGACAGCCGATTGGCACCTTCCTTCTCCCTTGACCATGTTTACTCTGCTCGTGTACAACCAGGCACGTGGCCTTGCATCAGCAAAAAATATGTGAATATCATGACTTTACTAAGTGGGCATATTTTTAGAACTTTGAAGCTCAGTTGCAGGCTTGTCATCTTTTCACTTCCCCTCCAAGCAGTAACATGGAAACCGTCATCCTGGGCCACACCATGCACAGCCAGTGTTTCCAAATGTTCACCCAGGAGGGCATCATCGGCATCCCTGATTATCCCTGATCGGATGCCCGCCTGGGTGGACATTTGGTAACAACCGGTGTACGTGGTGTGGCCCAGGACTGTTTGTGCGAGAACATGAGAAAGATATTTCAAAAGGTCCTGCTGCGGAGGACCGAACGTAGGAGTGCGCTTTCCTACACACAGGGAGAGTTTTAGTTATGAAAATTGCCCTCGCTCCCCAGCGCGTATGACGTACGGATTTTCATAAATAATTACGTAGAGCAACTCCTCACCCCCCCCCCCCTTCCGACCTGTAGTGATACAGTCAGACCTTGCTTGGTCCTCGCTTATCCGGATCCCTCGCGACTCGGAAGAAAAGAGCTGGTTACAGATGTACAGCATATGTGATGGATCCAACATAAACGTAGTTCAGTTATCCGGTTCCCTCGCCTATCCGGATAATTTTGTGGAAAACGGATCAGTGTGCGGTTAAGCGAGGTCTGACTATAGATGTCACACTTGAAGGCACAGCAAAATGGGTGCTTACCTGTGCCTCACGTGAACGGGGCAATTGCATTGGCCTCAGCATCTACAGGAATAAGAACAGAAATGCACTTACACTATACATGCAGCAAGTCATGACTGGCAAGTGACCAATGACAGTATGAGTTCACGCACTTGGTTTACATGAGGCCCTACACAATTTGGTTCGCGATAAAAGAAAAATGCTCGCTATAAAGGGTCAATTTTGTATGGGTTCAAAAAGGGACATAGACAAGAGTTAGCTATAAATCACGAAATTCGCTATATGCGAGCTCGTAATAATTAGAGTCGACTGCATTATACTTTGAGATGCGGAGATATGTATTCCAGGGCCGCCGGAACCGGTCCGGTTGGTCAAGTTCTCACCGGACCAACATTCTAACCACCAGCACATGTATATTGCTATGGCCCGGAGGTCATGTGTACCCGCCATGTCATACACAGAGTGTATGAAAGGCACTGAAACTAGCGGACCAATCAAAAACTGCTTCCGGCGGTCCCGTATCCACTTTGTTGTGCTCATGGAGCCTCAAAGTTCGTAAGATTGCGTTTTTCGTACTTCAGTACTTTCAAGTGGCCATTCCAATGTACAACACAATGCATGCGTATCTCCAAACCAGCATCATATCTGGTGTAAATGCATGCTAGAAATCAATATTGAAAAGAGAACACAGTACTTCTTCTCATTCATCAGCTGAGGGTGCTGGAAGGGGGGGGGGGGGCAACTGTAGCTACACCGGAGGGTGCAACTGTAGCTACACCGGAGGGTGCAACTGTTGCTACAACGGAGGGTGCAACTGTAGCTACACCGGAGGGTGCAACTGTAGCTACACCGGAGGGTGCAACTGTAGCTACATGTATGATACTAGTCTTACCTGCAAACCGTCGATTACAGCAGCAGGCGGTGGGGCCGCGTTGCCCTGGCTAGCGGCAGCGGCGGGTGAGGCCCCGTTGCCCTGGCTAGCGGCAGCGACCGGTGGGGCCGTGTTGCCCTGGCTAGCGGCAGCGAACGGTGGGGCAGCGTTGCCCTGGCTAGCGGCAGCGGCCGGTGGGGCTGCGTTGCCCTGGCTAGCGGCAGTGGCCGGTGGGGCCGTGTTGCCCTGGCTAGCGGCAGTGGCCGGTGGGGCCGTGTTGCCCTGGCTAGCGGCAGCGGCCGGTGGGGCTGCGTTGCCCTGGCTAGCGGCAGCGGCCGGTGGGGCTGCGTTGCCCTGGCTAGCGGCAGCGGCGGGTGAGGCCCCGTTGCCCTGGCTAGCGGCAGCGGCCGGTGGGGCCGTGTTGCCCTGGCTAGCGGCAGCGGCCGGTGGGGCAGCGTTGCCCTGGCTAGCGGCAGCGGCCGGTGGGGCCGTGTTGCCCTGGCTAGCGGCAGCGGCTGGTGGGGCTGCGTTGCCCTGGCTAGAGGCAGCGGCCGGTGGGGCCGTGTTGCCCTGGCTAGCGGCAGCGGCCGGTGGGGCCGTGTTGCCCTGGCTAGCGGCAGCAACCGGTGATGCCGCGTTGCCCTGGCTAGCGGCAGCAACCGGTGATGCAGCGTTGGCCTGGCTTGCTGTAGCCTGTGCGTTGTCCTGGCTTGCAGGAGCCGGAGCAGGCGTTGCCATTTTCAAATCTACAATCCGTAAAAAGTAAAGCAAAGTTTGCACGTGCTCGTTACCTTGGGCTGGCTATACAAGAGACCAATCACGAAAAGATTGTCTGGGTTCGAAAGGGGGCTCCTCAACTGAGAGTGCACTGTACAACACATACCTGGCACTACCTGGTCAGCATACGGCACAGGACGTGTTTGATAGTTTTTGTGGGAATGCTGGGGTAAGTACACGCTTTTCACGTTACTATATAACACGTTACTTTCTGTATACGGTATAAGTACAAATTTTCGTTTGGAATTTATTTTCGCTATATTCGTTAGGAATAAGCGGCGCGGAGACAATAACTTTAATATGGCAACAAGCAGAATCAGCGAAGCGGACATTGGACGTACCTGAAGCAGCAACGGATGTGACAATAATATTGACGGAGGATGAGGATCGGCAGACCACGGACGATGAAGGTACTGGCAGTGACGGAGAGCAGGACGCGGATGTTGAGGCCAACAGTGGACAGTTGCAAGGTGAGGGTGATGATACTGGAAAGAGATCCGCAATAAAGAAACACCTGTTGTCCAACAGTCAGTGCCGTTCAGTTTATGATGACTCTTGCTTCACAGTTTTGTGCCGTGCTCGTAGGTTTAGTGAACTTAAAGTATTGGAAGCTGTTTTCATGCGCAAACATAACCCCAACCTATGCATCCAGAAAGAAAATGTCACTAAACTTAGACTATTCTCTTAGCATTCACACACACGCACATACACCCACCCACATACCCTTGAGCGTACTACTTACACTTCACCCTCTCTGAGTCTCACATTGTTATTATTTCTCACCTGCTCACCTATGTTATTAGTTTCACACTTCTCTTGTCTTTTGCACTTCACCTTCTTTTCTCCTATTTTCTTTCACATACTGCATTTCGTCCTCTTCCACATATATATCGTTGTTTATTGCTAGATTTCAGTATTGAGACGTATTTCCCTGATGAATGTCTCTAGAAAACGTGTTCGGAAACTTTTTTCCAACTTTTTATACATCTTTTAATATTGTACATGATTACGTCCAATGTCCGCTTCGCTGATTTTGCTTATTGCCTTATACACGTTAGGGGGCACGAAATAACTAAAGTTTGTACCAAACTAAAGTTTTTTTCTGAACGTTAGGGGTGACAGGCCTCGACTAACAACGAAATGTAGTACATGACAAGCCTGCTGGTGGAGTGATGTAACGAAAGATTTCGTGAACGAAACATTTCTACTTATACAGTAACTTAAAGGGGAAGTTCAGCCTAAAAAGAAAACTTCACAACATGTAGCGAAAAAAGCACTGATTCCAATGGTGAAGGTCCCAGGTTGATCGGAGCAGCCGTTCCCGAGTTATACCAGCTTGAAGTTTGCACTAAATTTGGTGACATCATGATGACGTCAATAACTTGCCCAGACACGGCCGGGTTTATGACGTCAGAGAGGAAGACTTTGTATGGGAGTAGATGAGGAAATTTCAGTATGTTGGCTCTCCATAGGGCATCTACTTGACCCAAGACTCCCGAGGCCGGCCAGGGCGCCCAAGAAAGACGTTGGCAACCAGCGTTGCGGAGGACATGAGAGAGACCGGAATGACTTTCACCACAGTGCGGGATCTCGACCTGGCGACTGAGCGGGCAAGGGACAAACCGGCACGGAGAGCGATGGTCTACAACTAATGATACTGAACTAGAACAACGGAAAGATTCATCAAGACAGCAGTGGACCGAACATTAGTGTTGCACAATATTAATGTTCCATTACGCGCAACTGTGTTATTATTATTATTATAATTTTCATAGTGCTTGAAAGTGATGACGTCAAAAACGGCCAGGGAGTAGTAAGTTCACATCAGATTTTTATTTTGGATCCAGTAAGGTGTGTCTTTGCTATTGCCTCAGTGTATGGGTGCATAGCAACCCACGCGTCGAATGCAGGTGTGACTTTTTCTTAGCCACCAGTTGTCACCCCACCCCCATTAGCCAACCCAGTAAATTTTACTGGCTATATCACCTTGCTGTGAGCAAGACCGCTTGAAGTGTGCTTGGATCCATACATAAACTGGATCTAAGTGGATCCAGTTTTTGAATTTTTGAAATTGTTATCTATTTATTTATTTCTGCACCTCGTGGCATGTCAAGACAGCCAATTGAATTGAGGAGAGGGTGAGACCAACCACGGAAGAAGAGAAAAAAGAAAATGAAGAGCACGTACACAAAGTGGGAAGGGATTAGCAACTTACAAAGCAATGGGATGCTCAGTGAGCTATGCAGCGGAAGTGGTGACTGTGATTTTGTTTACTGGGAGATACTGAAGTGCTGTCTGACGAGGGTACGGAATTTGGGCATATCTAGAGCTTGTCTAACACTGGGAGGCAGTTGGAGCCAAGTGGAGTAGGAGGAAAAGAACGGGGGATGTTCAAATAGGGTAGACCTAGCTTTGCTATGCTGTGACGTAGCACTTTCAAGCCCTATTGTCCCAAAGAAGTTGGATCTTCTTAAAACTTCGGTATGGGACACATGGCACCCTACCGGTATTCCAACTGGAAAAAATTATAGTATGAAATTCATTGTTGCAGAGATACAAGAAAGAAATTGGTTTCCTCATCTACTCCCATGCAAAGTCTATCTCTCTGACGTCATAAATCCGGCCTAGTCTGGGCAAGTTTCTGACGTCATCATGATGTCACCAAATTTAGTGCAAACTTCAAGCTGTTACAACTCGCGAACGGATGCTCCGAACAACCTGGGATCTTCACCATTGGAATCAGCAGTAAAGTCGGAGGAGAAACCAGGCACCATACTGAATTTTAGATTACATTTTACAGTCACTGTATGACACTGGAGGAATCTACGCACTGTATGACACTGGAGGAATCTACGCACTGTATGACACTGGAGGAATCTACGCACTGTATGGCACTGGAGGAATCTACGCACTGTATGGCACTGCCACTGGAGGAATCTACGCACTGTATGACACTGGAGGAATCTACGCACTGCAGGTGCAGGGACCGCTGGTCACCTAATTCTACATTACACCTAAAACCTGGCAGGTCCCCGATACCCACACTTTGGACATTGTCCAAAACACTTTCTTCCAAATAATAATTAGATATACTGAATGACATAGGAAGAAGCTGAAATTTCTCATGAATATCCACCATCCTCATCACATCACCAATAATCACCTGTACTCCCAAACAGATTTAATAGCATCCCTATGAACGGTACCTCTATTTGCAGAGAAAGTCGAAATCTATGGTTTGGCCACGTTGTCCGACAAGGCCCAAACTCTCCATCATACCAGGCACTGATGTTAGCCACTGACATCTCTGACATCAAGAAGCCACGCGGACGCCCCCCAATGCGTTGGATCGACACTGTCCGAAAGGATCTCAAGAGTGTCGAACTTGCCATCAGCAACGCCCAGACCCAAGCTCATGACCGTAAACAATGGCGAGAAACTGTCAACAGATCGTTCGCTCATGCCTTGACTGCTTGAGTGACATGCGAAACTGTATATTTTTCCTCATTACTATTATTATTATTATTGACGAAAATGTTGAACGGTCTCTGCTGGGCCCATGCCATGGGATGACGACTACACCATAGCACAGACGTGGTTAGAACATCGCTGGCTCAAAGCGAGGGTCCCTGGTTCGAGTCCTGGTGGTGACAGTCAATTTTTCTTCAGACTTTTCCCGCTCGAGTCTTTCCCTCAAACCAGTGAATATTATGATTATTGTTATTATCCCGTTTGTGTCTTTCCCTCAAACCAGTGAATTGTGATTATCATTACAATTTCATGTTATACACTACAATGTCATGTAGTTGCATGCAAGACTTAGAGAGACGACGCGACAGACTTCAAAGCCCTTTGTTGGTTTTCTCTGTGGCACTCGTAATGTCTGCTGTCTGCACCCGAAATCTTACGAGACATTTCGGGTGCTATTTTGTTTATTGCGAGCGCTTCGTCTTCTCTTTAGGAGCTGCATCTGCGCCTTGATCCTGGAAGGGTGGTGGCGTTCCTACGGATGCGGAAAACTCGGCCTCTTTATAATTATGAAACCGAGTCTCACGCGAACCGTGAATTTTTTTCGTCTTCGATGAATCTTGCCTCTTTCCTGCAAGGTTTCCTCCTCGAGGCCTCTAGGACTAGCCACTAGGCACTAAGCTACTGTACTCATGTGCAGCCGATCAGTGGTCTACTGCAGAAGAAGATTGCTTTTCCCCGAGCCAGTGCCCCGCCAAAGACCATCGCCATGCAACACCGTCGGAACAAGTTCAGGATCGATGAGAATCATGATTCGCGCGAGCATGATGAAGCACGGAACTACAGTATTTCGAAAGACAACACAGGACGACAGCTATGCGCAGGTCTTGGGAGAATGTCTCCTGCGGTAAGAACCGAGACGACAGCTAGCGGGTTTTCGGCAACCTAGCTGGTGTCGGCGGAGATCGTCAAGCTCCTCCGCCTCACCGATCTGCTACATGTCTGACAGTCATGTACATACGGCAGAAATTCTGATAACACGAGCGTGCGGAAACACAGCATAGTAGATCTACCATGATCTACTGTGGCGAGAGTTTGCGGAAGAAATCCGAGTCGAAAAATCCATCAGGTCCAAAATCTACCTGTAAGGCTGCTGCCGTCGATGTGGCTCCAGCTTCAGATTACAGCAGTCAGGAGTCATTCCTGGGTGCCTAAATTGGTGACTGTGACGTGATCCAATTTAGGGCCCGGTCTACGTCGGGCCCTAGTCGACGGCTACAATGGCCAACCGGACAACAAAGAAGTTGAGGCCAAAGAGAATGATTCTATTTCTTGCGCATGCTTAGGGTTGGTTCATATGCAAAATCGGCGCCGCAAGACATCGGCGATCGATGACTCGACTCCGATGATATGAACCAGCTCCAGATCCGTTGCGCATACGGTTCGAGTACCAAATCTACTACAAAGACTAAGTAGTACAGAATGTGCCAAATGCTACGACAGGTTTGCCGATTACAGTAAAACCTGTAACTAAAGACCACCGTGACTAGCGACCAGCCTGGTACTACCGACCACTTCGCCAGGCACGGACGGTCTCACATTCAAAATGCACTGTGACTAGCGACTACCTGCTGAACGCGACCAGCGACCGCCTTTTCTTGTCCCAAAGACGATTTTTGACCCGTAACTAGCGACCGCGATGAAGGAAATCAAATGTTGTTCGAAGCTCTTTCTTGAAATTTTGATGATTTTCCGTGGTCCTGAAAGGCATCTTTCGATACTACAGTTGAAGAAATGAACGCAGGTTATTTTTGACTGTGGAGTCGGTGTGGACTTCACTACACCTGTCAGAATTTCAAGCGCTGTCAAGAATAAACATGATATTAAACGTCTTGGAGAGGGTATCGAAAGCGCTCTCTGATCGATGTTACTAATCGGAGGAGAAACGAAGACTGACCAGCTCTGTCACCCCAGTCATACAGACGAATCGACGATGGCATCAAGGAATCCAGAAACAAAGCAGCACCGCAAGGTCCTGATGCTGGAGAATCGCGTTCGAGCAATCGAGAAGTCGCAACAAGGACAGTCGGTACAATTGATCGCATGAACAAATTTGAAGCCCAGCGCAAAACGAAACTTCCACAGGGAACGTTTGACTCCTGGTTTCAGAAGTAGGAGCTGAATTTGATGTCCGCAAAAAAATTAATCTTCTCTCTCTGGCTCTCTCTGTCTCTCTCCATCTCTCCGTCTTTCTCTCCAAGTGTTGTTTAGCCTGAAATAAGAATGGCATTGCGCAAGTCTTGGGGAATTGTATTAGCTGCATTTTGATATACATGTACATATCATATAATGGGATCCATATATGGTCGCATGGTGCAAACCTCTAACTAAAGACCACCTGCTACTAAAGGCCGCTTTTGCTGGCACCAAGGGGTGGTCGGTAGTCACAGGTTTTACTGTATTTTGTTTCTTCAGTAGTTCAAGGTCTTTCGGTGATGGCCACTCGGTGCTACCTTTTACTGGAGATCAGGAAACTACTTCTACACCTACTGCAGTCTAGTAAGCGGTGGTTTCGAAAATATCCGTGCAAACGTTGATGAAGCCTCCACCATTTCTTGGATGTCGACTTGGAAGCTGAGACCGAACACTAGTAAGACCAAAGTGATGTTCTTCTGTAGCGGTGCTAGTGATCAGTTCTGTAATGTGTCTTTATCATGTCCTGGCAGCTCATCGACCATAGAAATTGTCCATGAATATAAGCACCTTGGTATAATTATTGACGACTGTCTAACATGGGCTCCTCATGTAGACTATATTTGCAAGAAAACTAGTAGTAGTGTTCTCGGCATACTATATCCTCATCGTTCTCATTTGCCAAATACATGCCGTTCTATGTTTTATCGCTCGTATCTATTACCTATTTTCCAGTATGCATGTCTGTCTTGGTGTAGTCTAAGTCAACATCTTGTGAACAAACTTGAAATCCAACATAAATCTCTTCTTAAAATATTGTTTAACAAGCAGCGTTTATTTCCTAGTCTTGAGCTCTATTGTATCAGCAATACTCAGCCACTGCAAGATAATCGCAAACAGCAGCTTTGCATTTTGATCCACAGAATTCGCCTAGGTAAAATTCCCATTCATCTCTCCGTATTCAATTGGTTTTCTCTGTCCCGGTCCACTCGTAATAGTCTCTCACTTCCCCGTGCTAATTCAGCCGCATTTACCAACTCTCCTCTGTTTTTGTCCTACAGCCTTTGGCTGCAACTTCCCCAGCATGTTTTAAAAGACATCAACATGTCTTTCCAGCTTTAAAAATGCACTCCGATCGCATAATGTAGTACGATAGGATCTCATTGCTGGATTCTTGTCTATCCTTCTTTCTTCTCTTTTTCTATATTCCTTCCTTTTCTTTTCTTGCCGTGGTTGGCTATCACCCCGCTCTCGCACTTTGCGTGCCAATTGATCATGAACCACGAGTTGAGTGAAATAAATAAAAATAAAAGTCACACGAACTTGTCTATGTATCCTTCGTACATTTCATAATAATTATTTCTTTGTCTCATAAGTTGCACAACAGTCAAGCAGATCATCCAAGAAGGACGGGTTGGTATGCTTTGCCAGTTGGAAAGGCTACAAGAATGGCGAACGGACCTCATCTTTAGCTTCAATAGGAAAACTTAGGATGAGTCTTACGGCAAGCTCCAGGTTGACTGGTTGTCCCTGGAGCCTGCTCCCAAAGCCCTGATGGAGTTTGTTAAATACGGCTGCAAAACAGGCTGTGACGGAGGCCGCTGCTCCTGCAAAGCACAGTCTTTGCACTGATGTTTGTGGATGCAGCGCTGCAGATAGCTGCCAGAACAGGGCCATGGCCAGTGAATCAGTGATCTGGGCAACTAACTGCCACTTGAAGCATGAGATTGAGTTTCAATGACGTACATCTACATTACATACACGGATCCATGGACAATGTACACGAGTACATGTAATCATGTATTATGTTTGGTTATTTTAGAGTCGAAGAACAAACAGGCAAATTTGCCAATCGTACAAGATTTTACAGCTCACCCCAACCTTCCCAATAGGCCCATACTAGTCCCTTACCGTCGACGTTCCGTCGAATGTGAACTAGGCTCGCACTTCAGAGTTTGTTCAATTGTGTCATTCATTCATAGGGTTCCCTGTAATAAGACGGCACCGTCTGTAGGGTCTAGGCATATGCGCATAATGCAGAAAAAATGGCAGAATTCGGTACTTTTCTGGTAAGTTTCATGCATGTTTGGTACATGTATGTGGATAAAGAAATGGAGCAGAATTCGAGGAATTGCCCGCCATCAGGTTTATATGGTTCTGCCAATTTCACTGCTTTTCGAGCAGAATCTGCCACATAAAGATTTAAGAAAAACAATTCAGGTTGAAGTAGTTACATGACTATCAGTATCAGGAGGAAGGAGAAGTCTAAAACTCCCCTAGCATAATGAGGGCCAGAACCGGGTTCAACACCCATATTATGGTTTAGATGGTCCAAACGGAGTAGGGACCGGCGGATTCTGCTCGAAAAGTTGGCAGATTCTGCTCGAAAAGCAGTAAAATTGGCAGAACCATACAAACCTTATGGCGGGCAATTCCTCGAATTCTGCTCCATTTCTTTATCCATGTACCAAACATGCATGAAACTTACCAGAAAAAGTACCGAATTCTGCCAATTTTTCTGCCGGCAGAATCCGCTGGACCCTACAACGGACCGGGGCTCTGCCAACCGTGGATGGTTGTAGCAAGGTCACTGTTTCCGAACACAGTTTCCTCCACCTTGTTTCATGCTGTCAATCTAACAATATGTGTGAACTATAACAACTTTATATTAACAAGGTTTATCTAATACTAGTATTGAACTAGTATTAGGTTAGATAATACCATAGTAGGCACTAGTAGTAGTAATAGTACACGTGTAGGAGTAGGCACTAGTAGTAGTAATAATAGTACACACACAGTCTCTTACCTTACCTGTGGGGCTGTGGCGCTGTGTCTGGGCCGAGACTAATGAGTAATGTACAAAGGCGACACAAAACTCAAAAGGCGATACAAGATGACACACGGCACTGCTGAACAAGACGATACAAGGCACCTTGAGACAAGAAGCAGCACTATCAAACTCCAAACACTGAAAGGGCAAAGACAAAGTGAACGGATTGTGCACAGATGTGGACATTTTTACTTCTGTCGTAGGTCTAGAGGCCCCAGGGCGAAGGCCATGCAGCGGATTGCAGCCGCGGATTATGTATTCTTACATGACACGTGATCGTTGCCGGGCCATGGCCAATAGGCGATCTTCCCGCCGCGGGCATAATCAGGCCATCAGGACCGTTTGACGTCATTTCGGGAGTTTCAGGACCGTTTGACGTCATTTCGGGAATGTTCGGACCGTTTGACGTCATTTAAGGAATAATTTTTCGACCTTTCGACCTTTCGACCTTTGACCTTCCCTAATATGTTGCTTCGCGATGTAAGAAATCAAATCAAGCACGCTCTGTCTGTCATGATGGCTGAATCTTGCCCTTGCCTGCAGCCCTCGGGCCTACGGCCCTTGGGCTGCAGGCTCGGGCAAGATTCAGCCATCATGACCTCCTGAGCGTGCTTGATTACATACCTCATGTGGCCATTGTAGCTCGATCGCAGTTCTAGCGACCCCAACGCCAAGGTCATGCAGCCGTAGTACACACATGCCGAGACCCTAGCCTGGCCTAGGTCGGCCTTGCTAGTCCCGCCTCACCGGCCCAGGCTCCCTGAGAGCTCCTACTTGTACGGTGTCTGTCTTTCTCCTTACTCTAGTCCTTAGTTGTCTCAATCATTATTCTTTTGTCTTCTTCTTCTCCTCTCTTTGTTATGGTCTATCAGTAGGAGGTGCATTCTGTAAAAAAAATTTAGGGCCGAAACGATTATACCGGATTACTCGTATATCACTCGTTATGGATGAAATCGATATTCGTTATGATCGATAACGATTATGACTGTACAGTGCGAGAGCGGTCATGACGTCGGTACATGCGGATGATGAAAGTGCCATTATGCACGCGCGTCATGCGCACAAGTACATGAACCTGTCCCTCCAGGAAATCGCGATTCCACGGATGCAACAAATTTCGCGATTTTGGTCCAAACCCGCGATTTTCAGCAAAATCCGCGATTTCCCGCGTTTTTTGTTGTTTTCTGCACTATATCTCACATGTTTCATGCAGTGCTTTCCATGATCCTGTAGGTTATTTGCACAGTATGACTCGTACTACTCCGGAGTAGATACAGTCATGTATACGATGCAACAAATTTCGAGATTTGGCCCGCAAATCCGCAATTTTCTGTGAATAATTCCGCGAATTCCTGGCAAGTTCTGCATCAATCCGCACTTTTCGTCGCATTTTTTGTTGTTTTCTGCCGCAATTTCTTGCGCAAATTTTCGAGAGTTTTTTCCGCAAATTCCCGCAGGGACAGATGAACGTCGAAGACAAGTGCATGAAGCCGTGGTAGGTCCGTACAATCATCGTCTTTGGCCAGTTTGGGTACTTGTACAGTAAGTAAGTAATTACATGACTGTACAGTAAAACCTGTGACTACCGACCACCCCTTGGTGCCAGCAAAAGCGGTCTTTAGTAGCAGGTGGTCTTTAGTTAGAGGTTTGCACCATGCGACCATATATGGATCCCATTATATGATATGTATATCAAAATGCAGCTAATACAATTCCCCAAGACTTGCGCAATGCCATTCTTATTTCAGGCTAAACAACACTTGGAGAGAAAGACGGAGAGATGGAGAGAGACAGAGAGAGACAGAGAGAGAAGATTAATTTTTTTGCGGACATCAAATTCAGCTCCTACTTCTGAAACCAGGAGTCAAACGTTCCCTGTGGAAGTTTCGTTTTGCGCTGGGCTTCAAATTTGTTCATGCGATCAATTGTACCGACTGTCCTTGTTGCGACTTCTCGATTGCTTGAACGCGATTCTCCAGCATCAGGACCTTGCGGTGCTGCTTTGTTTCTGGATTCCTTGATGCCATCGTCGATTCGTCTGTATGACTGGGGTGACAGAGCTGCTCAGTCTTCGTTTCTCCTCCGATTAGTAACATCGATCAGAGAGCGCTTTCGATACCCTCTCCAAGACGTTTAATATCATGTTTATTCTTGACAGCGCTTGAAATTCTGACAGGTGTAGTGAAGTCCACACCGACTCCACAGTCAAAAATAACCTGCGTTCATTTCTTCAACTGTAGTATCGAAAGATGCCTTTCAGGACCACGGAAAATCATCAAAATTTCAAGAAAGAGCTTCGAACAACATTTGATTTCCTACATCGCGGTCGCTAGTTACGGGTCAAAAATCGTCTTTGGGACAAGAAAAGGCGGTCGCTGGTCGCGTTCAGCAGGTAGTCGCTAGTCACAGTGCATTTTGAATGTGAGACCGTCCGTGCCTGGCGAAGTGGTCGGTAGTACCAGGCTGGTCGCTAGTCACGGTGGTCTTTAGTTACAGGTTTTACTGTACTTTATTCATGCAATGCAAAACGGTAGAGACAATGTGCAATAAAACGATGAAAATAGGAGTAAATATTGTAGAGAAAAATAAGGATTCTTTTTCTACACTATTTCCTCCTATTTTCATCGTTTTATTGCACATTGTCTCCACCGTTTTGCATTGCATGAATAAAGTATACACAAATGTCAATTCAGCTTGTAAAAAGGCGACGTGGAGACAATAATCTTAATAATGCAATGAATATAACTAAATGCGCACTCATATCACAACCATGGGGACGAATCATGTATTCCAGAACGTTTTCTTGTCACAATTATCAATGGAATTCGTGACTAAAGAGAATGATGAAACTACAATAGGATTTATACACTTGGAGTGGAACAGCGAGGATACAAGCATAGTAAGAAAAATAGCACTTTCTGGATGTGTTAGTCGAAAAGACCCAGACTGGTGTATTGACTACAGTATACCGTAAACCCACTTTCACCGGGCAGTACATGATGTTTGACTCGTTCTGCTCTTCCCAGTACAAGTCAAACTTAGTTCGTAACCTTGTAAATAGGGCACAACGCATATGTTCACCAACAAAGCTACAACAGGAACTTGATTTTCTACGCTCCGTATTTGTGAAGAATGGCTACCCGCAGCAGCTCCTCGACAAGCTTCTAACAAGTACACCTGTTGTTAAGGAACGAGCTATCGGACCGTTGCCGTGCCGCGTATTTCTTTGCTTGCCCTGGAAAGGGAAAGAGTCGAGGGACACGGCCCGTGTGGTGAAATCCCTAGTGGAGAAAACCTACTTTGCCACCAATGTGGTTACCGTGTTCACTACGATCCGTTCGTTCACGATGTTGAAGGATGTCCTACCAACCCTACAATTGAGTCACCTCATTTACTACTTTGAATGCCGACAATGTGGTAGTCGGTATGTTGGTAGGACCCTTCAACATCTGTCCGAACGTATCAAACAACACGTGCCGCTCTCACTATTATCACAGGCGGCTAGGTCCTCCCGACCAAAGCGTGGCCGACCACGTAAGCACCCGACTCCACTGTCCGTTCCGGCAGAGGCTTCTGCTCCACAAACGGTGTCTCGGAAAAACCAACACAGCACGCAGAAATCGGGAACAAACATTAATGTAAACAAAGACGAACACTGTGTCTTATCTTCATTATCAGCGAGTACCGGTACGCCGGACGCAGACAACCGCAACTCACCAAAGCTGAGAAGGAGCAAACGGCTGGCGGCAGCTCGGTTTGCAGAGGTAACTGGAAAGATGCAACGAAACTCTCCGGATATGGATGATGCCAGCGGAAGAGTTGACGACTGTCAGGTGTTTGGCAATGGCAAGGGAAGACCGGTCAGGAAGAGAACGCGACGGCAGCTGGAGGAGGAGTGTGGAAGCGACGTGTGCAGTGACGATGATGAACCCGGTGGTCAGTTGCTGGGAGAGCCGACGACAGGTGAAGGTGGCAGCGATGATGAAGAGGACGATGACGATGATGACGATGATGGTGCAGATGGTGTGAAGGACGGTGGCGGTCAGAAACCAAGTGGAGGCAGAGGCGGTGAGAAGAAGAAGAATACATCGGCAATTAAATTGCATTTGTTGTCTAACCCCGTGTGTCGTGAAAGTTATGATGATTCTTGGTTCAGTGTTGTTCGTTCTGCAAGTAGTTTCAAGCAGTTGAAAGTTCTAGAAGCAGTCTACATTCGCATTCGTGATCCAAATCTTTGTAAACAAAAAGAAAATGTCACCGCACTTACGCTATTCCAGTAAATTCGCACTCACACACACTTGCACATGCATGTCCATTGTCACACTGCACTTGCTGAATTTCCTATCATTTCTCACCTCACCTATAGTTCATTACCTGTGCAAATTGTTCCTAGGTTTGTGCTATTTTTCTTACTATGCTTGTATCCTCGCTGTTCCACTCCAAGTGTATAAATCCTATTGTAGTTTCATCATTCTCTTTAGTCACGAATTCCATTGATAATTGTGACAAGAAAACGTTCTGGAATACATGATTCGTCCCCATGGTTGTGATATGAGTGCGCATTTAGTTATATTCATTGCATAATTCAGCTTGTCTTATTGATTGCGGTTATCAAATTATTGTCTCCTCGTCGTTTGTCCAAATTCCATGTTACAATTTTTTTCCTTGCTTCACCATCCTTGCTTCTTGCTTCACCATCCTTCGGGAACGACACGATAATTTGCTGTTAAAAAAAATTCTAACACTCTCGCATGTTGGTACTGGTTTTCGCGTTGGTGTCCTTTTCTGGCTGTCCAGCACTTTTGCAGCTCGCGATGTCCTCTGCGGGCTGACTTCCAGGTACTAGTATCATGAGTACATGTACTGGTCTGTTCATACTGGTGTGTACATGTTGTTAGTATGACAGCATGAAACCAGGTGGAGGACACTGTGTTCGGAAACAGTGAACTATAACAACTGGTTTATCTACAGAGAGGTGTGTTTTCAGAGTGAAATGCTTGAAAAAATAATTATACAGGAATCCTGATAATTCGAATATGGCTTAATTCGAACATACCGCTTAATTAGAAGTTTTTCCAGGACCGATTTCTATCAATACGATTCCCACATAAAAAAATTCTGATAATTCGAACCTCGAACTGGACATGTCCGGTAAATTGGGAGTCCCACAGATTCCACTAAGTGACTTGCATAGAAAATGTGTGGGATTTGTGCTGATAAATAATTAATTGGTGATAATTCGGAGTTAGCAAAGTGTAATTCGAAGTTCACTGTACAGTTGTTCACTGTACTGGTTAGTTCAGTTTGCACGAGCAGGCCGTG